CAAGAGATTGGGTAGTTTGAACTATTTTTAAGTGTTAAAATTACTCACTCTCTTGTGGAAATAACTGAAAGAGTTAAATTAAGACTAATTCTGAGAAGGACCAAACAGACTCGGCACGGTGTTGATTTAACTCGGCCAAATTTGCTGTGTGTGTGTTTTTAGAGAATCTTTGAAACCCAGGTTGGTCCTGCTGATCAGAAAATATGGAGAAAATAAATTAATGTCAATCTGAAGTGAACCTAAAATTAAACTGAGTTCACATCATTTAGGTCAGGTCCTCCAGGGCTACACTGCAAAAACACAAAATCTTACCAAGTATTTTTGCAAATATTTCAGTAAACTTGAAATTACTTACAAGTGACAACTAACTTACAAGTAATCTTTCAGCAAGATATAGGAGCTTGTTTTAAGTCAAAAATACTTGAATATCTATAAAAATACTTGTTCCACTGCCAGGTCCATAAGGATCTTTGAATATTTGGCAGGAATGAGAAACTGCTGATGTGATGAACTCAAATAACTAAATGTTGTGGAGGTGAATTACAGTCATGAGAATTTTATTCTGATCAGAGAACAGCACCAAATGAGAAACACAGATTTTAGGTTCTCCCTCTCTGAACAGACAGACTGGATTTTGATCTGAATAAACATCTTATTTTTTATGTGGAAACATTTATTATTGATGCATTTTCAACCTTCAAACAACTTTAAGCTTGTCAAGCTTTAAAAGAGAAAACATAGTTTTTTTTTTAATCAAATCTTTTTCAAAATAATTAATTATCTTTAAGGGAAGGAAAACGCTGTTTAACTCAACTCATTGGATTGTTTCATGCATTTTGCTGAAGTATAACCTTAAGATTCAGATAGGTAAGCTTTTAAAATAATGGGTAACTTTTTAAAATGTGATTAAAGGTTAGAGTGGTTGGATAGAGATGGAAAGTTCACCAGACATATTTCACCTTCAGCTAAGCTACAAACTCTCATCCCTTTCTGCAACCTTCATTCTAGTTTGACCTTTAACTTATTTTACCTGAGCTTTTACCTTTTTGTTTGATTGTAGTTACCTTGAAACAAAAGCATGATGCAGCAAAGAACTGATTTCTCCAAAGGTTTTCTCCACAAGACACTTTTTAAAGTGCTAAAACCCCCTGCTGAGCAGCTCCAACAGCCTGCTGTTTTCTTTAAAAAGTAAACCAAAGGACAATCTGCTGTGATGTGAATTTACAGGTAATCCTTCAATGTCATTAGCTGCAGGTCAGGGAATGTTCAGCAGATCCATGTTTGGGGAAGGGATTTTTTTCAGAGGGTTTTTATCAAGTAGGTTCTGTAAAGTGTTGCAGTACTTTGGCTTAAATTGATTATTAGGAAAATGTTACAGATTCCTTTCTGAGTCAAAGAAAACAAGTTTTGATTCGTGTCATAAATCGGGGACCCGCCTTGCGTAAACATCTGTGGGTTGGACACCTCTGCGGCCAGCAGCGTTTTCACTCTGCGCCGTCTTTTACGTTGGGTAGCCTCCATATTTATGTGGGACAAAACACACAGGATCAGCGTCAGGGGCAACACAATTATTTAAAGCAGGAGCAAATAAAGGTGCGGCTGGTGTTCTGCTGTTTGGAGCAGAAACACAGAGCCCTGATTTAACGAGGCATACAGTGGAGCGCAGCTCTGCCATGGCTGGACAAAGGTACGTAGGTTTTCTTTTGTTTTTCACTATCTGGTCTTGGCATTTAAGGCATACCATACAGAGAAGCTGGTGTGAAAGGACAGATTTGCTCTGCAGCGTTAAAGCTGGCAGACCACGATGATGTAATTAGTGACATTATCTGGTCAATCAAAGTCTTCCTCCCAGATTTGTTACACGTTTTCTTTCATTCTAATTATGCTCTTTTTAATAACCATACAGTATTATTTTTTCTTATGTTGTAAATTTGGCCTGTCATTCTTAATATTTGCTTTTAATATTTTTTACCTGACGGTGAATTTGCAGGCTTCCATTTTAGTGTTTGTGAGAACTTGAGAGCTTCCTCTGCCAAACTGGGAATGAGTTTCAGGCAGGATGTTGGACTTAAGTGCTGCAGATTTGAATCTGTTCAGTAGCAGATCTTTCACATTTGCATATTTTACATTAACCTGTCTGTCACTAGAGGACCCAAATTTGGGTCCTCTAGTGACTTTTAGACTTTTAGTCTAGTGACTTTTAGATGTGCCTCTGCTGCACCACACCTGAAAAGAATAATTAGGTCATTAGAAAGGCTCAGGAGAACCGATCTACACAGGGAGGAGGTAATTAAGCCATTTCATTCCACTGTTTTTTACCTGTGGCACATCTAAACACTGCAGGACAGCGGCCCTTGAGGACTGGAGTTTGACACCCCTGTCATTGTGAATGACAACCTGTGAATGACAGGTTACACTTTGAATGTTGTTACCTGACTTTGGCATAGAAGATGACTGATATGGTCGATGGACGATAAATTGCAGCTGCTGTTAGTTTCTGAGGAGGACGTTGATGCGTCTGACTGGCGGTTGCAGCTTGTGCAAAACATTTCCTACCATGAGGTTTGGATGGTCTGAAAAATATGAAAACCACCTCAGATTAACCAACCCCCCCAATAGGTATTGTGTAGATTGTACTTGTTTAATGAATAAAAACTTAATTAAGTAGATAAATAGCTTTGATTGGTCAGAATTGTTTGTATTTTATGAATTTGTGTTCATGTAAATCTTCAGCCTTTATGTTGTGGGTCTGATGGCTTTTGTATTTCAGCCCTGCTTCCCTGCTGGCTTTTTTTTTGGTCAAACCCCAAGATTTTCTTTAGATAGAAAAATTATTTCTTATTTCAATATATTTCATCAAGCCAGTTTATTCTTTCAGTTTGTTCAGTACTTGAGTTTTGGATTTGCTTTGCACTTTGTTTTATTTTATTATCGTCTCGTTCTAGTTTATTCTCCGTTAGCTTAGTTTCTCCTTTTAGATTTGGCACTTATTTCTGTTATCATTGAAACAGAAATGATGACTGTTTGCTTTTTTCTCAGTCACTTTGCCATTTTCTCCCCTTCATCATTTGTCACTGCTCCCATCACAGCTGCAGTCAGTTTCCCTGATTACTTCCTTCATCATCTCTGCTCTGCATATCTTCCTCTCACACTCTTTACTGGCCGTCGGTTCCTTCAGTTTGCTCTGTCTGTGCTTTGCCATTGGTGCTCACCATCTCATGTTCTGAGTTTCCAGTTTCTGTAAGTGTTTTAGACCTTATTCATGAAATCATGGCTCATATGACAACTCCATTCTGTCTGCACCCTGCATGTCTGCAGCGTTTGAATCCCTTCATGGTCTCAGCCCGCCGGATCTACGGACCTGATCCCTAAGATCAGACTCTCCTCTCATCTGCTCATCTCTCCACCATGAGGAGAGACTTTATATCTGGTCTGAAAACTCATCTTTTTAGATTAGACTATTCGTCTTAGTTAATTTCTTCCCATCTCTTTTCACTGCACTTCTTTTCCAATTGTTCCTTTTCCTTAAATTGTCCCTCGAGTGTCCTGAAAGAAGCTTTCAGATAAAATGTATTATTACTATAAAATATTTATTTTAACCACTTTTTCGATTTCTAAACGGTAATCTAAATGCTTTGGTAATTCAGAAGGATAAACATTAATATAACGTTTAAATTTCTTTCATTTGGTTTCCAGACAGAAAATGAAGAACAGTGATAGACCTTTTACTCTGTCACGAAACCAATGCTTCTTCTCATTTCTGGTTCTTGGAGTTGTGTTTTTTTCCTGCTGCACAAACATAAGGAACTTGGAACCTGATTGGAACTTTAAATGGTTGATGCAAAATAATTTGACAAAACTCTTCACATTCAGGAACCACAGCTTCGTCACAAACAACTTATCTGCATATCCTCACCTTCAGGACATTACACCTGAGCCACTGACTCAACGTATGATGCAAAATAACTCAACACACACCGCTGCTGAACTTCCTGAAACCACGAGCGTCACCACAACGCAGGAGCCACCGACTCAACGGCACAGGACAGTTTCATCACGGGTCACCAAGAAGACACTAGAAACCCAAACTGGCCAGCGGACAGCGGCTCCTTATGTGTCTCCTGGACCGTACCTGGTGGAGTACCCCTATGAGTACCACTTCACTATCAACGAGGAACTGAAATGTAAGCAGGAGAAGCCGTTTGTGGTTCTGATGGTACAAGTGGCGCCACGCAACCGAGCTCATCGCGACGTCATCCGTAACAGCTGGGGAAGCGAGAAGCTGGCTAACAACCAGGTGGTGGCGCTGTTCTTCCTGCTGGGGATGCAGACTGGAGACGATGCAGAGCAGGTCCACCAGCAGCTGCTGCAGGAGAGCAAAGAGCATCACGACCTGATCCAGGGAGACTTTGTGGACTGCTACAAGAACCTGACCATAAAGACCATGGTGATGCTGGAGTGGCTGAACTCCTACTGCTCCAGCGCCGCTTACGCCATGAAAATCGATTCAGACATGTTTCTAAATGTTCCCAATCTGGTCAACTTGCTCCTCAAAGCTCCCAGGACAAACTACATGACCGGCCTGGTGGCACAAAGAGGACAAGTCTCCAGGAATCCCAAGTCCAAGTTCTACGTGCCTGTGGATCTCGTCAGCGATCATTTTTACCCTCCCTATGCTTTGGGTCTGGGCTACATTTTGTCTTTGGATCTCACCACAAAGCTCATTGAGGCTTCCAGACACGTTAAACCTCTTTACATCGAAGATGCTTATTTGGGCTTATGTATGAGACACCTGGGTATCCGTCCAACAAACCCCCCAAACTGGAACCTCTTCCGTATTTTCCCTTTGAAATACAGTCGCTGTGCGTACTCCATGGTCATCGCCACCACAGTTCCAGAAAATATGGATCGTGTGAAGACTTGGAAAGACTTTAAGAAACCAGGTCAGTACTGTTGATGAATAATAAAAAAACATTTTCAACACTTTTTGATTCCACAAAATATTTGTGTAAGATTTCAGATGGTTAAGAAGTCAAAGTTCCTATGAAACAGAACAAGCTAATTTTAGCTTCATGCGGGAAAGATGAAAAGATTAAGTGCAGAAGTAAATGATGGTCACCAGTAAAACCAGTTTTCATTTGACTTTTAGTTCTGTAACCATTAATTCATATACATATATTTTTTAAAATGTATGTGCATTAAATTAGAAAAACTAAGGAAACAAATAGGAAGCATGAGCCTTTGCTAATAGTTTATTTCTAACCTTAACAATTTATATTGTGAGTTGTTGCTGAACTGTACAGATTAAAAACAGTGAGTGATTAAATGTGTGTGAATAAGTGCTAATTGTGAAATATATATTTGGATGAGTATGGGAATCTATATTTCTGTGAATTAAAGTTGAGAATCATAAAGTAGTAAAAGCTCCAGTTTGCAGACTCCTGAACATTCAATTACTGTACAAGATGGAGTAATTTCCATATGACATAATTAGTTGCTAAGTATTAGTCTTTTAGAATTACATAAAGGTTCAATGTATTTTCTAAGGGTTTCATGTAATTGACCAACACAAATAATGGCATAATTGTGAAGTGGAAGTAAAATTCTGAAAGTTTTTTGAAATTATTCAAAAATAAAAATCTGAAGTATTGGGATCAATTCATCCTTCGCTCCAATTAATGTTGCACGTGGTTTTAGCTGGTGTCTGCACAGCTAATTGCTGGAGGTTTTGCTCAGTAATTAAACTCAGTGAGATTGGACAGACGTTTCTAATTCTCTTCACAGATTTTTAATAAGATTTAAGTCTGGACTTTGACTTGGCTGTTCTGACAGATGGATGTGTCGGGCTTTTATGGAGAGAAAATCCTCAATATACCTGTCATGCGTAACACTGGATTTGTAATCTGTGTAAGTATCTTTGTGTGCAACTTTGGATAGTTATTTCTGTGAAACATGATTTGTAAACGGTTAAAAAAAAAAAAAAGTGTGTAACTCCGGGTACTTGTAAATATATGGGGTAACACTTTATGTGAAGGGGTGTGCATAAGACTGACATGACACTGTCATAAACATGACATAACACCTGTCATGAGCATAAAGACGTCTTTACGAATGTTGGACTGTTGTCATGAAGTGTCATTATTTACTGAATGACACTTCATGACAACTGTCAAACATTCATAAAGACCTCTTCATGCTCATGACAGATGTCATGTCAGTCTTATGCACACCCCTTCAAATAAAGTGTTACCATATAGGGTTATATGCATACACAAATATTAAGAAATTCCGAATACAAAATAAAAAGACACACAATTACAATTTCTACAAATGTTAAATTTCTCCACGCAGACTTTTTTTTAACTTCAACCTCACAAATCTGATAATTACGAATTCAAACCTTCTCCTGTGCCAACAAATGCTAAATAAGTAACACGAGTTGCCAGGTATGCACGCGTTGGGTTACGAGATTTTTGAGACTCATTTCACGTTTCAGACAGCCTCAGATTTGTGCATTAAGTTGTGCGTTTAAATACTGGTGGAAAACTGGCTCTTCTGATTTTTGTTCAGTCTAGTGTTTTTATCCTCTGATAAAAACACTAGACACAATACAGTAACAAGTATTTGTTACTGTAACAACGTTACTTTGTTGGAAAACAGAATATTTCAACACATTTTTATAATACTCCAAAATTATTTATTGACATATTGCACATTTTTGAGCCATACAGTGAGATTACAGGGTTTAAAAAACGACCACTAGGTGGCGGAATGGTTCGCTGGGTGGAAAAACAGGCAGTCAAACAAGACAGAGCGTCCCGGTGGTCTGCTCTCAGAAGTAAGTAGAAGCTAAACCTGAACGCTTTGCTCTCCTATTATAAAACAGAGTAATTTAAAATTATTTCATATTACGTTTTGTCTCTATACATCAGAAATGAGGCCCAATAAATCAGAGTAAACCTGGACTGGTGCTGCCCACTGACATTGCAAATAAATGAAAAAAACAAAAAAAAAAAACCCTCCAAAATAAACACCACTGTGTACATTACAACACTGTACCTACTACCTTATTCTAAACAAATTCAAGCAAAATGAAAAAATTAAGGTCCATCTTTGCAGTTGTAATAATAACTCATATTAAGTTCCTCCACACTTGGTTTTTTAGGATTGAGACTTTGTTTTTCCGACTTTGATTAAATTCTGATAGTTGTATATGGATACAAACCTTGGTAGTGGGTGACAAACGGTAAATAACTGCACAGTAGTTATAGTTTTATCCTTTTTGCAACACTGGAATCAATGTGCTACGATTAAATATAAAACTGTTGCTTCTACTCATTCTAATTTGACATCTCTTGCTAACTGCTGCCACCTGGTGGAGATGAAGTAAATGCAGCAGCTCCCCAGCACTTGAATTAATTTGCGCGGGTGATTTTCAAGGTTTGTTTATTTTCTTTGATGCGGATCATCAGTTACCACACCCATCTCAGTCATCTCAATCACCTTGATCACCGTAGTCACCGTGAAAACTAAAAACATATACAAATATTAGAACATAAACAAACTTACAACACAAACAACAAAATAAAACGTACCTCGCTGCTTTCACCAAGTGTTGATTGTGCCAAGCACATCTTTGACAGTTTGTTCAAGTCATTCATTGGTACAATGATTTGTCAGCTTCTATAGGGCCTGTCCTCATTAGCTACGGCAGCCCGTGAGGTACATAATAAAAAAAAACCCAAAACTTTACAAAGCGCAAATACAAACGAACAAAACAAAATACAAACCACCAACAGTGGTAATCAAAACAGACAAATATCATTAAACAATCTGCAACATCCTTAATTTAGAAAATTCACTTGAAATAATTTACAATAAATAGTCTACAAATTTAAATAATTTAGGCAACTTATTTTAATAGCTCACTGTCCATCACAGTAAACTACAAGCTATGACAACACAGACATTCTGTATTTATGCTATATATACCTCTTTAACAAATTCTGTAACTTTCTCTGTACTTCTTAATCTGCTCCTAAGTTGCATCTTTCCGGGTCTATTATTGCCTCTAGCCTTTATATTTATTAACACCATACTTTTTTTATTTTCTTAACAATGTAGAGCTAATTAAATGACACGAACAAGACCTTTATGAATTATGAATAACATCTCTATATTGCCATCAATTATTGGAGGAATAAAAGAAATAAGGAGACATGAAAAGCAACATGATAAAAAACTTAATTGGCAAAAAGTCAATAATGAAAAATTAATTAGGTTCACAGAAGAATAACAAATCAGATACAAGTAAAAATGTACAGTTTTGCTTTTACAGTGCCATATATATTATTCTGAGAGACTTTTTGTTGGTAGTTTTATTTGTAGGAGAAATAAGATGAAATAATTTAGTCTATCGAGGTGAAAATTTTCCTTCGACTCTAAAATGATAAAATAATGCACTATTTACCTGACATTCAAAGTATTCCTAAAAGTTTGTCTGTTAGTCTGCAGCTCATGTGACCAAACCAGCCGAGGAGACGAAAAGTTACAAACACTCAACATTGTCTTCTACACAACCTCTAGTTGGGTCACCCCTAAAGCAATAGGTCTTCTTAAAAAATAGTCTCTCTGAAAATCTTTATTAAAAATATAACCAGTGTTTTCAGCAAAGCTGAGCTGACTGTCCAGGAACAACCCAAAAAAATTTAAAGTTTAAAATTTGCCACAGTTTCAACAGGTTGGCCATCGAGAGAAACTGGAACCATTTTGAAGTCTTTTTTAGGTTTTTAATTAGCTCTACCTCTTTAAGAAAATGAAAAATTAATAATAGACTTTGTGGTATTCTGAAATGTAATTATATTAGTTGTTACCACCCACCGCCACTAGAGGCAGTAGTAGACCCAAAAAGATGCAACTAAGGAGCAGATTTAGAAGTTCACCGAAAGCTTTTATTAAAAACTGTGAGCTGCACAGAAGAAAATAAGAGAGAAGTTCAAATACATACTGAGAGCGAAACTCCTTCCTAAAGATGAAGATATATCACAGATTTCAAAAGAAAATAAAAACGGGAGCACGGATAATATAGGACATAGCGCCCCCTTCACTTCCGGAGTGCAATGGCTCCAGTTCCAAATAAGGTATAAGACTGACAGTGGTCCGTCCCGCCCTTTCTGTTTGCTGCAGCGACGGCCTTTTCATTAAATAAATTTCACATAAAATAAAAAATAGTAAACATCAAGATTTTCTTTAATCCACAACTTATTTTACCAATCACAGTATTTTAAGATCCAAAACGAAATGACTCCAGGGAAAGGCCGTGAGTGGCAACTGGCGGTCTGTTTCTGGAAACACTTCCAACTTGGTTATTTGAAAATATACTGTTTATTTATTGCAAAAAGAGACAAAATAATAACTTTTCATTTTACCTTAGCAGGTGTCTTTGTTGCCACTGGGACAGGTGAAAGAGGTAAAAATAGTTTCTGTTCCTTTTGAGCTGCAGCAACTATAAACTCAGCAGATATTCAGAACCTGTTGCTACAGCTCAAAAAACGCAATGAATTGAATTTTAAGTATATTGGTTAAAATAATTGTCAACTAATTTAGTTATCAACTAATTGCTAACTGTAGTGTACAGACTCTAAAACAGGCCATTTTCTGAAAGAACAATACAATTACAGCAGTAGTTTTGCAAAAACTCTTAAATCCTGGGTTAAAAATAACCCAACCTGTAACCAAACTTGGACCAAGCCAACGCTGGGTTGTTTTTACTAAACAGAGCTGGATTGATGGATTGAACCAGCATGCTGGGTTTGGGAAACTATCCAAAGATTAGATTAAATTGACCAATGGGTTGAAACTCTTAACCCATTACAAGGTTTATTATACCACCATATTTGGAGAAAAAAAAAAAACATTTAAAAAGTGGATTAAAAACAATCTCATGGCCTGAAAACTACTTTTATATCCATGTGATACATATATACAGCTATCACTTATAATGTTACAAAGCCTATAATGAAAAGGTTTTTCAAGTATTTAATTAAATCACAGCTACTTTGTCATTATTTGGTCAGGTGTGTTACATAAAGGCAACAATTAATTTAAACAGTCTGTTTTAGAACAAACTGCATGTAAAACTTTCAGCCATTAAACAAGAAGTAACTTTATCAACACTTTAGTGAGTAGTTAAAGTAAAAATGTATCCACTCATTCTGATGATTAATCGATTAATCATCAGAATAATTGATTACTAAAATAATTGATAGTTGCAGCACTGCTTTTGAGTTTTATTAAAAGTAACTTGCTGTTTATGTTCCTG